GTAGGATTAACCTTTTCCTGTCTACTCCATATTTGTTAGTAAAGCTGTCATTTCAGAAATGGGTTTTTTTCATTACTGTGTTCAGGAGATGCATTCTTCTTGGATTTTCACTCTAATTGTCCATGTTACACACATTAAGTTTTCATTTATTTGTTTCTTTTGTTTTGCTTCCCAAATAGAAGTCAAGAGATAAATGCAAGGAATCATCTATTCTATTCCAGTGGGTGGAACACCAAACATTTCTTTCAAGAGTCTGAATATATTTATCTATATATGTGAGTGTGTGTGTCTTCCTTCATTTTCTTTCAAGAGGCTGAATATATTTATCTGTTTGTGTGTGTGTGCATTCCTTGATGGGATACAGACAATTTATTCCTGATCAAACTTTCTTCTCCTGATCCTTTTTAGGTGCTGTAACAACACTTCATGATATATGTGTGCACTATGGTTATGTGTATTTTGTTTATTTTATATTAATTTTTGGTTTTGCCACATGAACTTCAGCACCCAACTATCACAGGTTTTCTGTCTGATACTTTTCTCTATTCCTGGGTACATTTCTTGGCTGGGTTGTCTGCACTTCAGCTGTTCTTAAATGCCTCAGTGTAGGTTTGATTCATTGGAGGACATAAGAGTTGCCTGCACTTGCTGCTTCCTGACCTTTTCTGGATTTGGTAACAGAGTGCTCTGTGCATGTATGTCAGTGACGCTTTTGTTCTAAGCAGCCCTGGCTTGGCAGTTGTTGTTCAGCTGTGAGGCAGAGATCCCCTTTCCCTGGAGCAGAGAGGAATGACTCTGATTATAGTAGAGCTGTTGAGGGGTCTGACTTTTCCGTGGCTGTGAACTTCTCGGAAAAAGTAGTTGCTAGGAGAAGACTACATAGTATTTACAGCAAGGGTGGTGGCTCTGCCTTCAGTAACAGAGCTGATTTATTTTAGAATTTGAGAAACAGAAATCAGACCATCTAATGGTGCAATCTTTGTAGGGTTTTCCACTGCCAAATCTTCTAGTGCTTAAGCAGCTTCAAAATGTTCCAGGAGCATTGGATGGCATTTCTGCTGAGCTGGCTGTATAAATTAATTCATATCTGTTCCTACGCTTTAACTCTTCTTCTGTTTTTTTGGGAGTCTTCTTAAACAAGAAGACTCGGTTTGGTTTGGTTTTTTATAGACTGGATGAGGTAGTTTAACAGCAAAGTGAAGACTCTCTTGAAGCAAAGCCTCTTTCTAGGATGCTTGGGATGTCACATGCAGAGCTCATAGGTACAGAACTGTGTGACTTGTCCTAAGACACAGCCCATGAGGAGTAGGTAGGGGGCATTGTCACCCTTCCGCTGGTGACTCAGTGGAGCTGGATTTCTCTCCTTCACCCTCTGTTTACCAAACAGATGTTTCAGTAAAGCTCTCTGCATTCACAGTCAAGCTCCTTAGGTTTGCCATCACCAGACTACCTTGTTATCTGTGTACATTTGGGGCTTAAGATCAGTCCTCAGGTAGTGATTGTGCCAGCTGTGTACAAAGCAGCAGCACAAGAAGGGTCCATGTCCTGCTTACCCCTGCCAAAGATTGCTTCCAGCCAGAAAAAAAAATTCCTCTAACCTTTTTGAGGTTTGCTGCCCAGAAAAGAGCAGTGGGGTCAGCAGCAATGGCAACTGGCAGGAGTTGCAGTGAACATGGTGAGATGGAAGAGGCTGGAAGGAGGCAAGAGTGAAAGAAGTTGATCAGTAGTTAACTCATGTAAGCATGAGTTAACTATTAAGAGTAAACAAATATTAATCACAAGCCTAAGAAGCAGGATGCGCCTTAGTCTTGTCAAGATAAGCAGAATTCACCTTACCAAGATAAGAGAAACAAAACCTACTGTCAGCAGAAAATGCTGAGCCAGCCAGCAAAGGACTGCCCATGCTTCAGAAAGAAAGGTGAAAAGGGCAGAGGGAGGAAGACTGCCGGCCTTCATTGGAACTTGGAGCCTTCCTCAGTTCGACCACCAGAGTACACTGTGCTTGTGTGTCACATATGCTAATGCTGTTAATGATTTCTGAAAAGTAATTTGTATAACCACTCCTATCCCAAGGAATGTAATGAATATGCATGAATTTAACCATAAATTGTGCTGTGTGAAAGTGCTGGATGTACTTGCTGGGAGGAGCGATCCCCCAAATACCCACCTCACTGAGTTAGTCTCTGAGTTGACTCTTAGCTCAATGTTGGAGCAAATCAAGAGGACACGAGGCTGAGTTATGATTTGAGCACTAAAACATTTTGCTGCAGCTCTGGGTGTTGTCCTCTGTATTATCTGTCTTTATGATCCAGTATCTTCTCTTGTTGATCCAGGAAATATGCAGCAAGTACTAAGTGGCAAGTTTTATGTACTTTGGTGATAACACAAATATTCTTGCAGAGAGATCTGTGCCTTGTACTTGATAATATCCCATCATTAACTGTAACAATGTTGTGGATTGTCTGCCAACATGCAGTCTAAAAGCTCTCACTAAATAATCCTGACATAGTAAAAATCTCGGATAACAGATTTCCAAGTACTTATTTGGCTACAATATACAAGCAAGACAGCCACAGGATGATTCACTGCTTTAAGAATTCGGGCTGGATGACCTAATGGCTTCTTTTGGAGAGAAGGCAGTTCTCACTTAGAGCAAGCATGCCTGGAGAAGACAGCTAATTTACACTCGCTTACTGCAGCTCACCTCCCAGCCCTGCCTTTGTGGTGTTGTACAGCGGTCAGCGCTGGCTGGAGCGCTGCTGCTGCTCTGGGCGCTTACAGTCCCTGAGGACAGAGCTGCGCTGGCCCCATGCTGCCGCTGCGGCTCGCAATTGGGAATTGCCGGAATTGGGACGCTGGGAGCAGAAGCGCTGCCGCAGCCCTACAGGGCCCAGCGCGGGGTGGAAGTTCCCTCTGCTGGAGGAACAAACCCACTGCGGCCAGCGGAGCGCGGCGGCCGTGAGCATCCTCCCCGAAACCTGATTTCTACAGGTGCTGCACGTTAATAACTTTAATTACGTGTCTCTCTGTGCCTGCAGCTTTACCCGAAGGCAATGAGTTGTTGGTCTGATTGTCCCTCAACGTATTGGTTTTCTGGGGATCAGATCCAGAGAGCCAACATTAAAAAAAAAAGGTGATCCTATTATAGAGGACTTTTGATCTAAGCAGAAGAAAGGTGAGGTGTAACGCCAGGCTGGATGGGGCTCTGAGCAATCTAGTCTTGTGGGAGGTGTTCTTTCCCATGGCAGGGAGTTGGAATGAGATGACTTTTAAGTTCTCTTTCAACCAAACCATTCTATGATAAGGGCTGGATACTGTGGACAGGGCCGTGAGGATGTCTGTGGTAGCCTGGGACTAGACAAGTCTGTGATCAGCTCCTAGAATTGCTGTTATAAATGAAAGCTCCAATTTATTAATTAAAGAAGATCTATTAAATGGTCAAAATATAAATTTAGAGAATAACAACGAAAAGCCACTATCAAAAAAGAGGTCAGTGCCGAGCCCAGGTATTGGTGCTGGGTGAGACACAGGTTTGACCACTGCAGCAGAGGGTCCTCTGTGCTTCACACCAACTGTCCTGTCTGACCGATTTTTATATGGTTTTTCTTGCCCGAGGCAGAGTCCCTTTTCTTCCTTTTTGGACTGCACGTATTCATGTGGAGTTCTTTTCTCTGTGGCAAATTGAACAAAACATGTCCGGACGGTGATGAGCACCCATGATCGCATTCCCGGAATTTGGTATTAAACTGTATCTCCCTGATAGCTCTGGCTATCTCAGTCTCGGATATTTATCGTGTATTCATCATTCGGGTGTTCCTCGGACTACCTTGATGGATGATCCATCTCCGGGCTGGCCATGTTCATTTGCTTGTGAATGGAGTCCTCCCTCCTTTGTCCAGGTGGTTTCGACATTGTTACAATTCCTGTTACTGGCTTGTGCGTTTTAAAAACTTCTTATAAGAGTATATGTTAACAGTACATAACTATAAACCATACGACAATTTTATTTGCACGAATTATCATATACACATATAACAACTGCTGCCTCTGGTTTGAAGCGTTCAGTCTCTCCTTGCAAGAGTTCTTCCCAGGTTACTCACAATGCATGAGAGATTTTCAGCATCTTTAAGCTATGCTGTCTCAGAATGATGGGGGCATTTTGCGGCAGATGCCCAGTCTTCAGAAAGAACAATGTGGCATGGACGTGAAGATCCTGCCAGGGACAGGGGTGGCTGGAGCTCTGGACCTAATGCCAGAAACAGGCCAACTGCTCCACAGACCAACCTCCAAGTAAAACTTGGGGCTGTTCTGGTGGCAAACTCTAGATTACTAAAAGACAAAAAACCTCATCATGTATTGCCATGGGCATGAGTGCTTCCAGTAGAAGGGGAAAACCAAAGCAGGGGGGATAATTTCAGGCAATCTAACCAAATTTGGCACGCGTCAGTGAAAGAAAGGAAAAGAATTCAAAGGAAACTTAAAGAGAACAACCTGGAGGTCAAGGCAACATATGTTGTTTTGTGTGTGGGCAGCTGTTCCTCATGGAAATTGGACTTGACAGCCGTGAGACTTGCTAATGAAAAGTGATGTCGAGGAGAGATTCCTGCTTGTCATCACTGATGATGATGGGAATTTACCTGGATCCCGTGGCCAATACCTTTGTCCGTTGTGGCTGGACACTTAGGGGGGTGTGGAAAAACGGGGAAATCCTTCTCTTTCTATTACTCAAAGACACCCCTCGACCCCGAGCCTTAGCTTTGCCTTTCCTTTGATGTGAACAGTCCGTAGGGTTTCCTTCGCGCTCCAGAAGCGCCCTCATACCTGCGCGGTGCCGCGGCTGGGGCAGGGACCCGTTCCGCACGCCAGATCTCCGCGCACACCGCGGGCTGTCGGGCTGGGGAGCCCGGCGGGCGCGGGGGGCTCCTCCTCCTGCCGCGGGGGGCGGCTGCGGGCCCTGCCCAGCGTGGGCGGCCGGGCCCGGCTGCGCGGCTGCGGGCGGCGCCGCCAGTGAGGCTGCGCTGAGGCTGCGGGGCCGGATGGCCGAGCCGCCCGCCCCGCGCACTCGGGCGGCGGCCGGCAGCGGGCGAGGACACCGGGCGAGCCCTCCCTGCCGGGAGAGCCAGCCCTGCGCACGGCAGCGCCATGGTCTCATGGATCATCTCCAGGCTAGTGGTGTGAGTAGCTGCCGCCCGGCACCTGCAGCGCGTCCGCGTGTTGTGCGTGTGCGCGGCGTCCGCGCTGCCTCGCCCCTGCTGTGGATACCGGGCTAAATTTAGCGGGTTGTTGTCGGGGGGTTTGGCAGGAGGTAGGTGGGTCAGATGGGATTTTACAGCATGAGAAAATCACCGGGGTGGTGAAGGGGAAAGCGCTGCCGCGCCGTACAGCGCAAGGTGACAGGGGAGAAACAGCGAGTGACATCGCCCGGCGCTCGGCGATGGACGGGCTCGGGGTCCGGAGGGGAGATGGAGCATCCACGGGTGGGAAAATGGATTTGGGCAGCGGCGCTTTGTTACCGGGCTCGGCGAGGCTGGGGGCTCGCGAGGGGGCGTGGGAGAGGCGGCCGCGGGGTCTCCCAGCCGCCGCCGCCGCTTTCTTCTGTCTGTTTTGCGAAAGAAATACCAAATATTCCCTTCCTCTCTGCGACTTGCCGCTCATCCTCTCGAAAGACGATCTCGCTCTCCCTTTAACCTGTCAGCCTGGAGGAAGAAGCGTGTGGCTCTTTGCACTTGTCCTACAGCTTTTCCATGGCTGAAACTGCTCTAGGTGGGAATACATGTAAAAATTCCCTGCAAATTTTTCACAGGCAACAGGGGAAAACGGAGCAAGCTCAAGGTATATGTTTATCTGCCCCATCTGGGAAGAGTATTAGGGAGAAAAAGGCATTTTTGATGCCATTTGGGAAATTCCTGGAGGAGGGAGATTACAGTCTTAAGGTGGGGCAGCAGGATGGCTGATCTCCCTTCTGGAAATGTGTCTGGGGAAGGCTAATATATGGCATCAGATAAATAATTTGCCAGTTTTCTTCATCATATGCATACAGATGCATCTCCTGCAGATTCAGGAGGGCATCTGTTGTGCTCTTAAGTTATTTTAGAGCGTCTGCGAGGGCCTGTCACTTTCTTTGTCTGAAAGAAACGTGCCATGATGTTGCACTATCAGCATGTTTCCAGAAAAGCATTTGCAAGGACTCTTTTGCCATATAAGATGAAATATCAAAAGGAAAACTCACCTTCAGCTTAGTTATGTTACTGTATCAGTAAGACATTAAGTGTCAGATATGAAGATTTTAGGGGGCTCTAGAGTTGAATTTAGTCCCTGCAGGTCTGTCATCTGGATTCAGCTGTAGCTAGCCATTATTTGGCTTGCACTTCATTCTGGGAAAGAGTGTTAAATATTTAAAAGTTTTAATTTTAATAGTATAACCGTGCAGATATCTCTGCCAGCAATGTGAGACATAGCATGCATTGTCTAAGGCAGCTTTTCTTTCTTCTCTACTAGACTAATTTCCACTTTGAAAAAACCCACATTACCATGTAACCCAGCTAATCCTAAAGAACAAAGAATGTCTACGGAGACATTGGTAGTTTAACTTACTTGTCTCAGCACATGCACATCTACACAGATGATTTCATCTAAGACACATGGACTGGGTAAAAATCTGATAGGGGCAGGACCTGAGCAGTTGACCAGTCAGGTAATTAGCTGAGCACACAGACCTTCCTGTTCTCTTCAGTGTTATCTGAATAACATGTCACAGCATGGAGTCAGTTGTGCAGAGGGCAGTACCAGTTATTTGTTATGCTGCATTTTCAGTAGCAAATAATGAATATGCAGTGTAAATATTTAGTAGTCATAATAAGTAAGAATTTTGCAAGGAAACCTAGGGCAAGCCATGCTTCGTCACCACTGTCTTTCCATTACTTAGTGTACATCCATCCTTTAAGAATATTTTGCACCAGGAAGTGCTGGTTTGTTATGATCCCAGTAATAAACTTGGGCTCTTTAGAGTATTTCTTAAAACACCATTTGCTAGAGGTAGCATTGCATTAAAAAAAGAGGAGGGTATAAATAATCTTACATTCCATCAGATCCCAGAAAGCCCAAGGTGTCTGACATGGAGGAGCCCTCCAGTTTGCTGCAGCACACCATGCAGATCTGCCTGTGGAAAGGTTCCCTTACACATTTATCTTTCCAACTCTCAGAGCATTTTCTTTTTATTTCTAAAGATATTTCCATTCATCACTCCTATTGCCAGATGAAAAGGATGTTCACAAGAGGGCTTGTTGCTACACTTGGATGAAGACAAAGATGGGCAGGTGGTTCAGTGTCAGGTGATGAGCAAGTTGCTCCTGCATCCGAGAGGTTTGTGCATCCCACCACAGGCAGACAGCCATCACACCCCTGCAGCACAGCACAGACCTGCACCCATTCACAGTAACTGGGAGCTGGATTCCTGACTCCTTGGTGTACAGTGGTCTTCAAATTAGGATCACGGCAAAGATTTAATCTATCTAATCCAGTTTCCCCATCTCATTATGAATCACTAGTTGATTCATCAGTAGGGATAGCTGTGGTTAAGTAGAATGGCCACCTGGTTGGGCTTTTTTCCCCTCTGCTTGTGCCTATGTAGTTGTTTTTTCATTAAATCTTATTAACTGGTAAGGATTATGAATAAAGTGGTGTGGTGTGGTTTAATCACATTGTGAATGTTGATTTGTGCTCTTATGACTTCTGCTGACCTCCACAGGGGCTATGTCTGATATGACTCAGCTAACAGAAAGGGCTTTAAATAAAAAGTAAGCCTTTGCTTTGTCTCTTTGGTGCTTTGCTGCTTCCACTGTCTCTGATTTGGTTGTTACTGGTTCTGTCCTGGCATTTTCTATTTCTAAAACATTGAAGGAGAAGAATATATGAGCACTTCTCATTTTTTTCAGCCAGAAGTCAGACAACTCACTGCAAACCTTCTCTTACCTCATTTCACCTTTAGTGTTTGGGCTTTGTGTCCAGAGTGCTGGCTGGTTCTGTCTGCCTGCAGAGTTGTGTGCTGGGAACCCTCAGAAGAGAAATGATGCATTCAGAGCAGCATCTCTGCCATAGCTGTGTGTTGAAGTCAAGGATATTATGTTCAGGATCTGCCCTAGGTACTGTAAAAATGTGAAACAAAAAGACAATCGTGTCCCTGGATGTCTTTTTCCTCTAAGAGCTCAATTCTCATTCTCCTGTGGTACTATTCCCAGGTAGCTTTTTCACTCATCTCAGTGAGAACAAAATTGGGATATTTCTTTTCTCATGACGGTGGATTACAGATTACTTTTCCACCAAGGGATGCCTGTGATCATTGGAATTGTAATTGTTGCATCTTGGTGTGACTTGTTCCTATGTCTCTCACAATAACTGGAGTGGGATAACATCATTATTTCTGGGTTAATTACAGGTTTTTTTATTCTTCACCTCTGAGTACATCTCAAAGGACATCCTGGAGCACCTGTATCTCAGTTTCCTCTTCTGTGAAGTGTAATGAACTGTTGTGAATTTATCTTCCCTGAGGCAGACCAGAAGGGACCATTGGTCTGTTTTACCACCTACAGGCTATTGCTATTCATTTCAAAGGAGATTCAATTTACCTCCAAAGGTAGAGGCCTCTCTAGGAGAAGGACTTGTGATCTCTCTTTGTTATTGCAGACCAGTTCAGCTACAGTGCACAGTTCTGGCAATCCTGGATAGCTGCTTTTGGCTGTTGTCTATAGGCCCATTGAAGTTAAAAGTGGTGTATATAAATACAGCCTATTGTGTTGGCATGGGAATACTGTCCTTTCTCAGAAACATGAAACTTGGTTTATGTGCTTGGGATCACACAGAACAGACATAAAAGGTTTTCACTCCCATTCTGAAAGTTAGAAACATCACAATGCCTGTTGAAAGAATTTCAATCTGGAACACGTGGAAGAGGAAGGAAATGTCAGTAAAAATGAGGTTGGGTTAGACAGGTTATCAGTAGATAATATCATGCTGTGTGATGATTTAGGCATTTGAATTCCTCCTGTGAGAAGCTTAGAAGTGCATTGCAAATTAATATAAAATGATTAAATATGTTCTTCATGGTAAAAGTCCACAGCCTTAATTATGCTTTTTTTGCCTGCATTTATTTTCTTTTAAATCAAAATATCATTACTGGCCTCTCTGATCTATGTTTTGATGTGAAAGAGAATGGCAGCCTTAGATCACGTTGGGAATTCCCATCCCTGTATGCCAACTGTTCCTGGAAGTGGTTGGATTCTGAACAAAATCAAAGGGGAACCAAAGAATTCTTTAACCTGATGTGTAAGATTTCCTTCCCTATCACAGTTTGTTTGCTTTCTAGCTCTTGGTTATTGTGATGCTGTTTTAGCAAGGCTGTGAGATTGGCCACCCCATCCTCATCTGGTGTCAAGTCATAGTGCTACTGAGTCAGATATAGATTTCATCTTTGTATCTGTAAAGAATTTTCATTTTAAAGAAACTTAGAAGATCCTTCCTCCTCCCACTTTTCATGTGTATGGGAAGCCTGAAGAAATTTATGAATGAAACAAAACATGAAAAGTCATATCATGGATACTATCTGAAGGTAGAAAATGATAGCTTGTGTCTTCTTTATGAGAGGCAGAGACAGGATCCACTCAAGCAGGCAGGGACTGCTCTCATAAAAGCAAAGCACAGATTCAAGCTATTGGTTATTGATACATCAGTATTAGCACTTCAGATGATGCTACCACTTGATATATATAATGTGTTGGTTATTGATACATCTGCATTTGCATTTTAGTTGACATACATCATGTGTGTGAAGGTCCTTCACAGCCTGCTTTGTTTACTTGGTGTGCTGGCAGATGACATGAGAGATTCAGGTTGCTCTTTACAGGCCTCACACCAGCAGTGTAAAATATCTGAAAATACAGCAGAGGACCCAAAGTGCAGCTTGAGCTCCCAGCCAAGGCTGTGGGATGAGTTTGCATTTGACTCTTCTGTGCTCTGGAGCTGGGAAGTGGGAAGGCCAGGCACCCTGCTGTACTTAGAGAGTTTAGTGATAAACTTTACCTATATAAAAGTGGTGTAATCCCTCCAAAACAGAGGCTGCAGGCTTGCACTGCTGCTGTCCTTTGTGTGAAGAGCTCGTGGTCTCTGTGGCTGCCAGCTC